CTCGTAAGTTAAATATTCTTCGCCGTTGGCTGAGGTTCATCCTCACTGAAAAGTTCACCAAATTCTCTTTAGGTCGTGATTGGGCTCGAACAACATAGTCGATATTGCGAAAAAAAATTCTCACAGTTTTTCAAACTTAAACGGTTCTGACGCTGGCTTATATTTTGCTCCCGCCATATCGGAATGAATATGTTCGCTATGTTCTTTAATGATTTTTTAGTTGGACAATTTCTCCACAGTGAATAGCCAAATATCTTTGAACGCCATTTTTGACATTCAATAGCTGCGACATAACCGAGAGGGATACTTTTTTAACCGCAATCCTACAAATACTCGTATTACTTAAAAATGTTAAAGTTTGTGAGTGTATGTATGAGTATGTTTGTTGCTATTTCCCGCTATATATAAAGACCTCAGTCTTTGTTAACATATATATATTTTTTTAAAGGAGTTGCCACTTTTTCAAAAGTTAAGATCAATTTGTTAATAGGTTATATAAATTACTACAACAATGTGAGTGCCAAACGAAGGCAGTTCTAAGACGATTTATTTCGAAATAATTTTGAAGGGGGTTGCCACCTGTTCAATAATTTAAAATACTTTATTAACGAATTAAATGCTCTTTTTCGTTGTTGCTTTTCCGACAGAGTAGCATTACGATGAATTCTGAAACGGGTTTCCCAACGAGAGAGTCTTATATGATCTTTATTTCGAAAATGAGATTTAAGAGGATTGCCACCTGTTTTGGAATTCAAACTCAGTTTTATGAACAAGTTAAATTGTAATTTTTAATTTTTTTATTTAAGAAAGCTCATTTTTGAACACAATTTTGAAAAGGGTTGAAATATATTTGGAAATTCTAAATCAATTTAGTTGGTAATTCAAATAAACAATTTTAGTATGGGTGTCAAACCGAAGTGGTTTAATCAGCTTTATATTTAATATAATTTCAAAGGTTTCTCTCTAAAATATTTTCGAAGGAGTTAAAGTTTAATCAAAGGAGAGGCTAAATGAGACGTTACTATGCGGGTTTATCAGAAAAGAAGGCAAAAAAAGTCTTTCTTCCAAATATTTTTGAATACAGTGCCCTTTTAAGATTACAATTTAACTTTGTAAATTAGTTTAAACAATTTATAGATATCAGAGTTGTCGCATCTTATTAAATCGAATCGACTTTTTCTCTTTATTTGAAATAAATAAAAAAACTAGCATTGACAGGAAACTAAATTTATACTCTTATATGTCTCACTCAAATGACTGCACTTACTAGTTAAAATTTGACATAAAATTTGCCCATATCCTAAGGTATATTTTTTCTTCCAAAACTCCCACTCCCCACACCTCATAAGCAAGTGCAAAAGTTGTATCTGCTCTACAGAATTCGTTCCAACAGGTTGAGGTACAGATGTAGCATTTAAAAGCTCAACGTTAAAACCGTTTTCTGAACTTCCAATTTTAACCCTTTGGGAACCGATGTTGCCTATAGGCAACAATGACATTTTTAATTATAAATCTATAGACCTTTTTTCCAACGGTTTGTTTTAAATAATACTTTAGAATGTTGTAAAGGCTATAATCTGAACCACATGTCATAATTATGGAAACAATTAGTTTTCAAATTTTCAACAGCTTTTCGTTATGATGATTTTCGCCCAACGTAAGTGTTGCTAAAGGTGGTTCTACAATATTAACAAAATGCATTTCATAAATTACATTTTTGTTTAAAAAAAGTGTTTATGTTATAAAATATAATAAAGAAAATTAAATAAAAACATTAAAGCTTAGAAAATGTTTTTGGTGTTTGTTAGGAAACTGTGTAAACATTTTAAAGCAACATTTTGGAATCATATACGTTGAAATTGTTTACCAGTCCATATTTGTTTCTCAAGATACATATTTCACTAATGATCGAATTGCGAAAATATTTTTCGGCAAATTGGTCTTCCAGACCTACTGCATTTGTCAAGCTTTTCTAACCAAAGAAGGAATCAAGAATAAAATCTGCATTAAAACTGTTCCTGCTTTATTCGTAGAGCGATGTAATTTTTACGGGTTGCCTAAATATTTAGAAGGTATTATTTTTCAACAGAGCTCAAATTTCGAAAATTAGTCTTTTTTTAATGTCGCGCCTCTCAGTAGTAAACTAGCTCTCTGCGCTACCAAAAAGCTCTTAAAGCTTTTATGTACATTTAAATATTAATAGTTATTCTTTATATAAAAAAAAAAAAAAACTTAATTAAACTACACAGTTGCAGTAAAACTTTTTTACTTAAAGTAGCAAAAAAGTTAATGAAACTTTCTGCAACTGCACGAATTCTGCGTTGCACGTACGATTGTATATATATTTGCATAGTTGCACAACTCAAATATACCTATGTACATATTTTCGAGCAACAAAAATAAATGCAAACATTTTCTCTTTTACTGTCAAGCGCTTTTAAGCGCCACGTCGTATAAGTGACTTTTAGCTATAATCTGTCAATTCCATTGGCTTGCAACAACGGCAGGTGCATGCGCGCATGCGTGTTATTGCAGATTGTATTTGACATGTCATTATGAATGCTGCTAGCTTTGCTGGAAACGTAAATTAAAAAAGTTTTCTGATTTTCCGATTGCACGCCAGGACGTGCTACAGCCAGCAGAATGTAGTGTGGCATGGAAGATTTATCCGCCATATTATTACAGTTGTTAATGCTGAATTACTCGAAGCGTGCATACATACATACATACGTATGTACCCAATGTGCCAAACGACGTCGTAACGACGTCGTTTCCGACTCGTTCTGGTGAACAATTTGTTCGCCGGCGACGGTCGCAAACGACTCGCCGGCGAACTCGNGGTCGCAAAAACGACTCGCCGGCAGGTCGCAAAAACGACTCGCCGGCAGGTCGCAAAAACGACTCGCCGGCGGGTCGCAAAAACGATATACCAGCGAACAACGAAATGATGCTCAAAATCGCTACAAAACTAAAAACAAATTTTTTAGTTTAAAATAGTTTAATTTAATTCAGTTTATTTTTTTTTTTAAGTTTTTTAAATGTACATACATACTTAAATATTAATTAAAAAGAAAAATTAGGAAAACATTCAAAAAAATTAATTGTTAAAACTTGCCAATATGGCAGATAGTATATTTATGCAGACGACTGCGAAAAATTTCTTTTAATCCTTTTTGAGATTCTGTCTCCAGCATAATGGAAGTATCTTTTGGTTATTCGCTCCATGATTTCCACAGATTCGTTGAATTTTTGCTGGAACGCTTCTGAAATAATATTAAAAGTATGTTAATAATTTTTGAGAGCTGGGCATCAACAATTAAAGCGTACTTCTAATTGCTGCCGTGGTGATGAGATGCCGCACAGGTTTCTTCTCTGCCGTTCCCATCCATGAGAACTGTAGCGCCAGCTCATCGCTCAGCAATGCGTTCCAGCATTTCCTTACGAACTGCTCTCCATTGCTCGCAGCAATATTTTTGAGGTCTTGTACCTTATGAAATAGAAATATCAGATTGGATTCAAATTACAAAAAACAAAACACACACAACCCTACCAAATGGTTAAATTGGTCGTGGTTTTGCAGCTTCTCTTCAAATTCCTGAAACTCTGAAAGGCTGCACATTCCTTCCTTTGGAACAATTTCAATTGTTTCGGTGCTTGCTTTTTTCGACCGCATTAACTCTCGCTTCAGCACGATGACCTCCTCTGTCAATCGGTTTAAAACATTTAAGATTTTTTCTTGTGTTTTGTCAATCGTATCCAGTCGTTCCAACAGAGTATTTAGTTTCTGTTCGGTACTCTCTGTAAGTAAATAATAGTATGCACCAACAATTATATATTATTAAGGCATACAACTTGGATTAGTTGTTCACTTACTGGCTGGTGGCGCTGGTACATCGCCGGAATCGCTGGAATCGCTGGAATCGCTGCTTATAATACGCATTCTTTTCATTGTTGATGCAATAGTAATTCAAACCACAGTAATCTAACAGAAATTCAAAATGGTGCCGATAAACCTTTTCGTTTTTTACCACGAAGAGTTTCGTGCAGCGTTTTTGTTATACGCGCACGGCAGCACTTGCTGTGGGGAGTTTCGCCTCGCGATTGGAAAATGTACTAACTAAATTTTAGTTTGGACGATGAAGTATGCATGTATAAACAATAATGCATTGTTTAATAACAAAATGTAAGTTAAGTGTAATATCAATGCGTAATTGAGAATAGTAACAATTCCTAAGCACATTATTAACTCTTGTTTTATCATTAATTGAGAAACTAAAATGGTAAATAAGTATGTTCCAGTATGAAATATCCAGCATGAAATTCCGGCGAAAGGTTCTGTTGTATCACAATAGAAAAGTATTCAGAATAGTACTAGTAGTAAAGTATAAAAAGCATTTCATTCATGTACATCAAGTGTACGATAAATTAATTATCTTTATTTTGACATCATTAGTTTATTCCTCGGTTATGTGGTTGATATTAACATTTAAAAATATCTAAAATCTTAACTATTAAATCTTCATTTTTACTTGCGCCAAATAATTTTGATATGGTTGAAATCAGCATGAAGAACGGTTGGTATTCTAGACTTATGCGAATCTAAAACTCCTGATCGTGGGCTTCAAAAAAATCAACTCTGGGGTGTGGGGAAGTGAAACGAGAAGACCAGCAAAATAATAAATTGGACAAAAACAAACGGAAGACTGCTTTTGAAAAATATTTGTGTTGCTGTTATAAGATAGCCAAAAATCAAATTGAGCTGTGTATTCACATAAATATTGTTCAAGGCGAGCCATATACCTACCGCGCCCCTTCTGAGAAGAAGGGTGGTCGGATCACCCCATGCTAATAAGTTGCTTTTGCAATTGAACTTAATACCCAGGTGTCCAGACACCCAAATGAGACAACTTATGGCATACTAGGCTATCCCTCAGTGCCTAAGAACCACCGCACACCACAGACTTTATCGGCCGCCGATTTAGTTGAGGCTCGCTTGAAATAAATGAAGATGTATGGAGGTACGCCCACTAGCTCTACTTAATCTCGCCCGACTAAGTAGTTGTGGTGCAATACTAATACTACCGAACCCAACTAAATCGGCGGGCGATAAAGTCTGTTTTGGGCGTTGGCTCTAAGGGATTTCGCATTGTGCTAGTGTAAAACCTTAGTGGCTGTTTGTGTTAAAAATGTTATCATGCACATGAATTTATGCCCTTAAAACCCTCTATAATCTCGGTATCCCTCATATTTATATTCAGTAACAATCTGCATCTTATATCTATATTTGTATGCACATACATGCATATGTACATGTCGTCGTTTAAAGTACAAAACCGCGTATCTTCATTCTGCAAAACCGCGTAACTGACATTTGCTGCCAAAAATAGGATTTGCTCACACAAGCTCTTGGCTCAATCCTTATCGATTCGTCCTAAAATATACTAGCCAGAAATGCGATTGCACCTAAACTTTGCACTTAATATCAAAACCATTAATCATGTAATGAGTTCAACACGTAAATACAAGAGCAATTGCCACATATATGCATACATACATACATACATACATTTTTGTACATAAATTAACTAATTTTTAAAAGCCAATATTTTACGTAACTACTCAAAATTATATTTATTTCTGGACATTTTTAGAAATTTAAAAATTTATCTTTTAGTCCCGTTGGGGTACAAAATTGCTTAGTGGAAATTACGGGCACACATATATAGGCAGCACAGCTGCTCCGGTTTATCCAGTACACTGAATGGTGATATGTGTATGCATCAATACGCATGAAGCTTATTATGTACGTTTATGTCTCCAATCACATAATATTATATAAAAAATATTATGAATACTGAAAAAAGATGCATGTGGTTTAATTTTCTGAGCACAAGTGTACATTGTGGATTCCATATTCTGTCATGATAAAAAATTGTAATAAAAAAAAACGGTTTACTATCCAAATGAATGACTTTTATTTATGCTTAGATATATAAAAACTTGGGTGTGGAACTTGTCCAAACCAGACCGAAGGTTCCTCAAAAAACTTATGGGTTCGAAGAAACGGATTCGTTTCGAGTTCACCCAAAAGATTTCACCAGAGCGACGTCGTAACGACTTCACCAGAGCGACGTCGTAACGACTTCACCAGAGCGAAGTCGTAACGACGTCGTTTCGAGTTCACCAAAACGACTTCGCCAGAGCGACGTCGTAACGACGTCGTAACGACGTCGTCTTCGCCCTGTGGCAAATTGGGTATGTTGAAATTCATTATAATATTTCTATAGCAGCTAACGATATTGCATAAGGAAGTTGTTAAATTACAATTTACACGCACTTACGCACATTCATATAAGCACACACGCTCACATATACATACATAAAAAAAAAAACACATTTGCAATTGCTTATAATGAAGTTTGTAATTAATTTCCTGACTACGGGCCCAACAGCAATTGCTACAGCTGTTACATATGGGGATTGTGTGTAATATAGTATTTTATTATGTGAAAATTTTAAGGGCAAATCGGCATATGTGTATAGATGTGTGCATGTTAGCGAGACTAGCGGGGTAAACGAAAGGTGATCACAAACGGCTGAGCAATTGAAAATTTATTATTTTCGTAAATCATATTTTTGATATGCCGAAATGCCATCAATTAAAAATTAAAGAGCAACAAAAAGCAAGCGAACGCGAATAGAGTGGCGAAAACATATGAAGACAAATATGGATACAAAGTAAAACTTTTGTGTCAAATGATAAAAAAAATCGAATGTTATCAATAACAAACAAAATAATAACGCTGGATCACCAATTTTAATTCCTATGTTAAATTGCGGGGTGGCTCCGAAAATCGACTTTAGTTTTTTTTTCTATGGTTACGTTTTAAAGATATCTGCAATTTTTCGTTATTCAGCTTGAAAAAGTAGTGGTTCCGCTAAAACACTTATATCTTACGAACCAATTGAACAATCTTAGATACGGCAAATGAAGGCCAACGAAATTCTACATAAATCGTATGTAAATCACTTTTCGATGGGCCTGATAGTTTCTGAGAAATTAAATAATAAGTAGCTCCAGATTTTTTGTGTTTCTTGAAGAAAAAATAAATAAAAAATTTAAACTTTAACACCAATATTTCACAGGGCTCCCCATTCAGGTGCAAAGCGAGCAGTTCTGATTTCGATTGATTACGTAAATATGTATGTATGTATATAGTCTGCTCATAAATACATACGCGGAAATGATACTTATTTCTGTTAATTTCGAGTAGATTTATATAACTATAATGGCTAATTAGGAATTAATTATGTGGAGTCCTATGGCAGCCTCACATTTTAGAATTCCATCATTTAATATTCTTTGTCAAGTACATGAGCAACCCCTAAATATTTTTGTCCCGCAAGTCTTTTGAGTGGAGCTTCTTTTTTACTATAGTATGTAAATACTAATTCCACTACAATACAAATATGTATGTACAAATACAGGTACATATTTACTAAATATGTGCCAAATATTCTAAATATGCCTGCACATAACAATACATACGATTGTATGTGTAGACCAGAAATTGAACGGCAAGTTAATTTTGTTGTTTGAGCTGACAAAACTATTGCAATTTATGTGCCACCTAAGAGAATTTATTAAGCTTAGCAAGGTGAATTATTTTATCAGCTGAAACGCATAGAGGCAAACAAACTCCCCAAATGTTAGCCTATATTTGTATGTTTTTATGTATGTTTGTGTTTATGTGTTAATGTTTTCACATATCCTAGCGTGCACCTAATCAAATACTCAAAAGCACTGGCTGGAAATTCCCTATGTAATGTCCTCATTTTGTAATCTTATAGCACCTAGGTAATTTTCCTGAATTGAAATTTGTTGCACAGTGCGCAAACATAAATAAAATAAAAACTATTGCCACTTCCTATACAGCAGCATACTGACACCTGAGTGGAAGATCAACCTATCTCGGCAGACAGTCCGAAAACGCCTTATTCAGAATTTGGTTGAAGAACGCTCCATCTCAGAATTCGGTTCAAAAACGCCATATCTCAGCTGCTGATTCAAACACGCCCTATTACTAGGGCATTCTTCAGTCAAATGCTGAGATAGGGAGCTCTTCATCCAAATTCTGAAATAGGGCGTGCTTGAAAAGTTTTCTGGGGTAGGGCGTTTAAGATCTGCATAATTCATTCCATTTTTAAAAGTCAAATCAAAGGGCTTAGGCTTTAGTTATTCAAAAAGGTTTTAATTTTTGAAATTATTTAAAAAGTTAAATCAATTGTTGCAATATGGGTATCAACCAAAATGGTTTTGAAAAGGCTTTATAACTTAGCTACGTGTAGGAGGGCTGCCACATATTTAAACAATTTAATTAAATTTTAATTAAAGGAATTAAGTAAGTGATTGGGGTATTGTCACATATGTCTCAGAAAAAACAGGTTTAAGAAGGTAGTACTATAATTTTAAGGAGCTTCTCAAGTAGCACACTTGTGTATAACTTGGTGTAAATTTGCGAATTTTGGTATAAATCTGATTAATTGTACCAAAATTCACAACGGTACACCAAGTTATACACCAGTGTGCTACTTGAGTTGCCACCCATTAAATTATTTTAAACCCATGGGTGTCAAATAAAAGAGTTTCAAGAAATCTTTAGTTTGACAATTTAGAATATTTTTAATGTGTTTGAGGGTTGCCATCAGTTTAAAAAGTAAATTCAAATTATTTACTACGTTAAATGAATTACTAAAAGATAGTTATCAATTGAAATGGGATTAAAACCCTTTATTTCTGAACTATAATTAGGACGGTTGACAAGTGTATAAAAAATAAAAATCAACTGAATTGATAAGTTACTTGAAATACTTATCACAATGTCAGATGAGAGATATTTAAAACAATTTAGTTCGAAAATAAAACTGAAGAAGGTTGCCGCCTGTTTTTAAAGTTGAATTTAGTTTAATTATACACAAGCTATATGAAACTTTGAAATATAGGTATCAAACGAACGAGTACTAAAAAATGTTTAGTTTGAACAGTTAAAATTTGTTTAG